TGTTGTAATTTTTTTTCGTATCCTTTTTCAAGTTGCTAAGCTCTGCAATTTGATAAAGAAACAGTGTCAACTTCAGCAAATTTTATGCATTCGCATCGCTTTCAAGTCAACCTGGATCAAATATTATGAACGCATTGTTAAGAGTAATAACCTATTACATAACTTGATGCGTAAAACTCGTCAATTATTTTTTTCGCGTTTACCTCTTGAGCGATCCGAACAAAAACTTGCAAAAGATTTTATCCAAAAGTATTTTATAGGTCACAAATTACGGTCTATTAGCTATTGTCAGCGCATTCATAAGTGGATTACACACCGATTTTTCTATTTTTCTGTTAAAATATTAGATGGCCCTCGTAAGAAGTTGTACTGAATTTCAGATCAATACTTGATATAGATGGTAAGTTATAATTTGTTGGTAGGTGAACGTGGTAGTAGGCGGAACAGGGCCATCTTTTCACTTGTCAACTATGTTCCAGATTGATTGTATCTAATAATTTCTAGGCATATTGTTCGTTCTTACCGAAATAAAAGCCAAAAATTATCTTAGCGGAACTTCTGCAATGACTGCTTTGCAATCCAGCCAATCGTCTATCTGTAGGTACTTAAGATAATCGAATACAAATCGCACCTTATCTCGAGCTTTGCCGTTTACTTTGCCTATCAGTTAAATAATTAATATCGTGAGTACACATTTTCGAAATACATGGAAATTGCCATCAGCCATACATGCGAACGCATTAGATCACATGTCCAGTTGGAGGATAAACACTTTACCCTTTACATATTGTGCTTTGTATACAATAGTTTTTAAAGAATCTATTCATCCGCTGCACTGAGCTTCGACATGTTGCAAACAGAACAACGAAAGTAGCATATATCACAAACAAGAACATAAGTAAAAAAATTGAATCAAAGAGCAGCAATATTTCGCGGTAGCGGCTTTAAAAAGTATTATAAATCGAGCGGAATATGTCTCTTTTATTTATGTAACTTTTTTGTCAGATTATTGTTTATTTTAAGTTAAAATAAATAAACTTTGTTCTTCCGAATGCAGTTCTGAAACGTACATTAATCCATGCATATTGATCGTCTCTATGAATATGTAAAGCATACATATATATACATGCATTTTTACTTACGCAAACTTTTAAACAATACTTCTTCCATTCTTCCTTTCACCGTGGAATATCGGCCTATACTATGAAGAAAGTTTGCCACGATCCGTTACTTATTCTACCTCGTTGATCCTTTATTACCTTTAAGGGCGAATTGGAAATTTAAAATTATACATGACAAGCTTAAGACGGCTATAACGGCTTAAGTGAACGTTCTCCTCTTTTGGGTGAAAGATATAGTGATAGAATAATAAAATTTAAGCAAGTTTCAAACATGGAAAGAAAATAAATTTTGAGAGAAATATTAATAAATTGCAACACTGTAGCGTCGCCCGCGAGGTGCATTGATTGATTGATTTTTCTGTCTTGTTAGTTATTGTGGCTGCAAGCCGTTTTGGAAAGTCGTGTTCAAAGTGTGTTTTTCAACAATTTAAAATTTTCTCGCGTCCATGATTATCTTTCTATATCATATTCTCGAATATTTAAGAAATCATTTAGGCCAAGAAAGAATTCCTAGTAACCGTTTGGAAAATTTTCATAGAACCGACTGTCGGACCTATGTGCAACATATATTTATGAAAATTTCAAAGATTGGTAAGTGTGGTGATGAGGATTGCATACTTGTTCACCTAAAATGATCAAAATAAAAACATTCATTAAAATATTCATCTTTATAGACGAGCACTCGCTCACTCGCACATTACATTCGTATGCATGCAAAAATAACTTAAAATACCGACATACAAAATGAAGTGAGATGAATACGAAAGCGCAAAAATTTTTAAAGTTATTTCATTTCATACTCAACGTTTTCATTTACCTATATTTGTGCATATGTGTATATAGTCGTTTCAATTTTCTTTTCATTTTTTGTAAAAAATACACTTTCAAATATTACAACGTTACGCAACATTTAAATTTGTAATGCTCCCGCGAAATCATTAAATGAACTTAAGACCGCCGCCACCGCTGCTATTAACACTTTATTTTACGTGTGTGTACGCGGCGTACACACGTCTAAAAAATTTCGCGCAAGATATCGAAGAAACACTGGAACCTGAACAGCTCTACTGTTAGATCTTGGCGCTGGTTATTTTAAATTTGTCTCTCCGTTCGTAACAGTAAGGGATATGCACGCCGTAGACTCCGCAACGCGTACTTGTACGATAAAAAGAAAGAATAACTTTTATCAGAAATCATTATATAATGAATCGTATACTGCGGGATATCCTTCTTACCCACACCATCGGGAATAATTATTTAAATTACGCATGACCTTGGCAAGTTTTTGTGCTTTTCCTAAATGCATGCACGCACTTCTTCTGGGTAAAAAAAAATTTTTTGGAAGCTTTCGAATTGCCGAGGTTTCGAATTGTTTTAATCGCCAAAATTTTTTTGATCTCTTCAAAAGCGGAACTTGAAAGTCCCTTTTCAATCATTAATATATAATAAATAAGGGACAGGTTTATTTTCAAATAAATTTCATTCGAATACAAAAGACATTTTTGCCATTGGCTTTTTCGCGAACAGCCTAGTCGATAATGTAACCAATGTAAAAAGCGAAATTCATGATTAAACCGAGCCCAGCCAATCCCAATGTTGTGTAATAAAGTATAACATCGTTTTTGCCACCCTTCAGGAACACAGGCACGTCGTTCTTTTTCTGGAAATGCTTTTGTAAACGTAATATCTTTGGTGATACCCCGAGAGATTTTTTAGTTAGAGGACCTCCACCTGCCGGACCAACGTAGTACCGAATAATTTTTAAGTGCTGTTGACTGAGACTAGCTCGCAACGCGGGCTATAAACGTCTAATGTCAATACGTACAAACATATGCATATATATTTCTCTTTACTCACCTTCAGGATATTTAGCATTGATCTGCTGTAGAATTAACGTTTCCCGATAGTTAATAAATTTTAATATTTTCGTTAGCAGACAATTTTTGATTTTCCTTTAATATTGAAATAAAACACAAAGATGTTTTGGTTTATTTTATCAGATGGCAGTCAAAAGTTCGGCTACTTGGTATTGTAATTCAAAAATAAAAAGCAAGTTTTTTTTTTATCTTTAAGGTATCTATAGCATACATAAATAAGTCTAGCATCACTTCTGGGATGATCATACAAAAACCCACCGAGGTGATCTCCTTCCCTTTTCTGGCCGAGAATTCTTTTCATCATATTTGTTATCGAAACAATTCGTTTTTTTCACGTTTATTACATGTCTCTCAACAAAATAAGTCACATATCGACTCAAAGGAGAGACTAGAATATAATCAAGTATAAAATTTATAATCATTTAGGGACGAGTGTTCGATGCCCACAACTTCACACAAATTTGTCGAATTTATCTGATTATGAAGCATTTACTTAACTTTGGGCGAATCTGTTCTGAAGGTTTTTCGCAAACTTTTCTTGCTTAAAGCAAGTCGTTTTGTAAAGTTAGATGCATTCGAAAGATTGAATGAGTGAAAAATTAAAAATTTTTTTAGCTTCTGGCTGGCGCTATTTCGTGACGGGTAAACAAATACGCTTAGATCAGTTCAGGGTTTAGTAACGACCAGGCATATATGGATCTCTTTAAATCGCTGAAGTTTTCTTCTGGGTGTTGTAAACGCTCTGAAAAAGCGCATAAATGAATATATATGCCCATCGTATATACAAACTGCTTCCATTTAGTATAAGTATAAAATGAGTGAAATAAAAGTGAAGAAGCGAAAAACAATTATACGTAAAATTTAGGAAAAGATTTTCTATGCTCGACACGGATAGAATTTGGCTTGGAAATGTATGGTGAGAACCATATTGAAATGATACGAAAACCTTCGGATGGAATGGAATTTAGGTATGTTCTCCGTTTTTTTGTTCTCGGTCCGCTTTTTTAAGGGATAAGGATAGTGGATGGGTATAAAACGCTCGGTCAACACCGAATATAATTTACTTACTTGCTGTGGTTTAAAAAAAAATTTACTGTTTTTAATATTCTTGGACAAAGGTTTGATGATGAGTAGTATTTCGAAACACGAAGCTAATATGAGCAGCAAGAAGAAGACCGGTGCAATAATTTTACTTGATCATAAAGTAGAGCGAACCTCCATTCACTTGATATATTCTCCTCCGCATATAGTCATGCGTACAAAAAAATAAGTCCAATAAATAGATCCAAAATAATAATTCGGTCTGTATGTTACTGTGTTAAATATCCGATCTCCGTTCCACGTAATCGTTTTTTGTATAATTTGTGACGGTAGGTGAGCAAAAAGTTCACATTTCCCCAAATTTTTTTACGCCACTTTCCATGTAAAAAGGTTTGAAAAAAAATCTGCTATGTCAATATATACGATTTGAATTTTAATTTATAATACACAATATCCTATATGAAATGAAAGCAAAACGAAAAGGATGATCTGCTTTCAATTTAAAATCCGCTTTTCAAATCAAAAAGGTTGAAGCGATTCTTTTGCTTTGTTTAGCTGCGTCAGTGAAGTACACCTCCTTGGTCCTTCCTTTGTTTCTCTTTTCTTAACCCTTTATTCCACTAAGCAATCGAAAAGCTTATTTATATATCTTTACATTAATTTTTTTTATCGCTTTTTTTTCATAAGCATTTTTTTTCATCTTGCAATGCAGTCTATATATACATATGTATATATATAATATATTAAATTAGTTGCAAAATTTAAAAACTAAATGCCTCCCTCCGATGTGGGAATACAAATGAAGCTTCATTGTGTTCAGCCCGATGCTTGATTTTGTTAAGGCCCTCAACATTTTGCAATATAACACTGTTGTTGTTGATTCCCTGAACGTTTTCAAAAAAAGAAGAAGAGGTAGTAAAAGAAACTGATTATACGTGGGCTAAAAATATGTTTATATATTTACTTGCAATTAATAATGTAAAGTAAAATAAATCAACTTTTGATAAAAGCCGCCTACCGAAAATAAGAAGCATGTGTCAATAAACTCGCAAAGTCGACGGCGTTAGATTCATTCAATGCTTACGAGAAATTTCCATTTATTTTTGGCTATCTTTGGCTCGTCGTATTGGACTGAAAGCGTGGAAAAGTTGGATAAAAATAGATACAATATCAAAAAATATTACGCAATCTTTGTAAAAACATTCTGGAGTATTAAGCAAATTCCATTATATTCTTTGCATTTTCGAATATGGATTTACTGTTATTTTTAACGGCAACTTTACATCTTTGCTATACTCCATTTACTAAAGTGGAGGAAAGTTTCAATTTGCAGGCTATGCATGATATTTTATATTTAAGACATAATTTTACACAGGTAAGGGATTCTTTTAGTACTGTTATCGTTTTTAAAGTTAGTTTTTCATTGAATAGTATGATCATCACGAATTTCCCGGTGTCGTTCCACGCACATTCTTGGGACCCTTATTCATAGCTATACTTTCCAGTCCGTTTGTGATGCTTTTCGAAACGTTACAAATTAACAAATTCTGGACCCAATATGTAGGTAAAATAAATTTTTAAAATTTAATACAAATAAAACACTTAAGTAGTCTGTTTTGCATTTGTAATAATAGTGCGTGCAATGTTAGCCCTGATCGTATCAGTTGCTTGGAGTAAATGGAGACAAGTAGTCTGCAATCTTTATGGTTCGCATGTAAGCTTGTGGTTGAATTTAATAACTTTAACGCAATTTCATCTAATGTTCTACATGAGCAGAACTTTGCCAAACATTATGGTGCTGCCTATAGGTAATTTACAACATCCTTATGAATGAATAAAGTCATTATAATCATTTTATTTTTTACAATTAAAGTCATTTACGCTCTGACTTGCTGGATAGCTCGTCAAACGAAGCCCTTTATTATCTATTCTGGTGTCGCAATATTAATATTTCGTTCTGAGCTCTCGATATTTTTGGGACTTCTGTTGTTGATTGATGTAGTCTTTAAAAGACTCACTGTACAGAGGTTTGCTAGTAGATCACTTTAATCGGGAAAATTTAATTTCTTTCATTTTAGAATATTAAAAATTGCTACGCCGACGGCTGTTTTAGTTTTAATCACATCCGTTGTCATCGATTCTTTCTTTTGGCAACGCGTCCTTTGGCCTGAGGGTGAAGTTCTGTGGTATAATACAGTTTTGAATAAAAGTTCAAATTGGGGCGTATCCTTTTCGAAAATATCATTAGAACTTAGATAGAGATTGTAATAAACATCACCTGATTTTTCCTTAACCTATTTTTAAAATAACGAACCACAGACTTCGCCATTTTTATGGTATTTTTATTCAGCTTTACCAAGATCTATGAGTTGTTCATTGATGTTTGTTCCCTTTGGTTTGATTATGGAGCCTCGCGTCAGACCTTTAACATTTGCTGCGCTTGGTTACGTACTCATTTATTCTATAATGCCACATAAGGAATTGCGTTTTATAATCTATGTTCTTCCAGTTTTTAATCTTACGGCAGCCGCAACCTGTGCCCGCTTGTAAGTTGAACTGAAATAATTAAGGCCCTAAATAAGCATTTCTAGATTTTAGTTGGTTAAATGCTTCAAAATCCCTGATACACAAATTTTTGGCATTTTGTGCGGGCGGACATTTATTGTTAAATATCCTCATGACATTGTTTTTATTAACAGTGTCAAGTACGAATTATCCTGGAGGTGCAGCTTTAAGCCGCTTACATTCTCTAGAGCCAGAGTTTTCGAATGTCACCGTTCATATAGCGAATCTCGCGGCCCAAAGCGGAGTGTCTCGCTTCTTGCAAATGCGTACAAATTGGCGGTAACACTTTCCATTATGCAAACAACATGTTAAATATATCGAATTTTTAATTTACATGTAGGTATTGTAAGAACGAGTACTTGAATTACACGCGCGTGGAATTAAGTCCATTTTCGCATTTATTGGTAGAAGCTAAGAATAAACACAATACCCATCTGCAGGAGGATTTTGAGACATTGGAGTTTGTCGAATGTTTTCATAGTATCGGTATCCAATATAACTCGTTTACACCAGTGCGCATTAAGACGAGGCCTTGCTTACTAATTGTAAGAAGAAAATTTTACGATTTTGGTAATCCAATTGAAGAAGACAACGCACCTTCAGAGGAAATTGAACTGCATAATTCTCAGGAACAAATTTCTAATGATGAAGGAATTTCTTTGCGAAAAGAGCGTACAGAAACTAAAACAGATAAAGCGCGTAATAGTGAATATGAAAAGTTAAAGGGAACAATGCACAATAGATCTGATTATGTTGAGACGCTGAGCCGAGAAGTGGATAATCTAGAAAGCTTAGTCCACCAGAGAAAAGGAATCCGAACCGACATTTATAAGCATTTAAAAGATATTAAACACAAGAAGCCAATCAGAAAGAAATTGAGTACACCACTCGATGATGGGAACACTGGAGGAGTGGATTCTCGTAAAGAATTTCGACTCGCTAAGCAAAAGTCGTTCGATACGAATCAAATTAATTTTGAGGATGTTGGCGAAGCGACTCGTAAAGCTAAAACAACAAAGCTTAAACTACGCGCTATAATTGAAGAATATTATCGCTCCAAAGGTCGACAAACGAAGAAAGGTGATTTGGAAACAATGGAAGAGAAGTCTTTAACAGCACAACAGTCTATGGAAGCTACGATGAAAACAGAACATATGAAACAAATAATTGAAGAAATATCTTCGATGGACCTATCGCAATTATGCAACTTGGATAAAATTTCAAGGAAAGCATGTCTAAAAATGATTATCGATGAAATTGAGGAAGAAAGTTAAGGAAACTAAATCTATTTGAATTTCTATTAAATACACCTAATTTAAAGAATCGTTTAGTTTTTAAGTCCTTGACATTAGGGTAAATAAACATTATTTAAATTTATCCTACCCCTTTGTACATCCTTTTTATTACACATAAAATCACAAGTAAATTTGAGGATTCGCCAAACCCTTCTCCGCTATACGCAATATATATATATATATATATATATATATATGTATACATACACACGAAATCTGATTTGATCACAACAATAGCAATAGTGTTTGTGTATTTATTTTCATATTCTTTTTTTTTAGTTGGAAATAACGCAAATTAATATTAAGCTTATATTTATACTTTATAGGAAAAAGGAAAGATTCAAAAAAGAAAGAAAATTCTGCAATAATATAACGAAAAGCATATCTAAAAGGGAATACGAAGGATGTTATCAAATAATTTTTCTTCGGTTTGAACAGAAAATTCAGTTATGTAGAACTATATTGCTAGTTGAAGTTTCCATTTCTTTGGCGTATAAATATTGACATTTATTCCGGGGGTTGAGGCACAGCAAGTTCATAGAACAATTTTCCCATACCACCTATGCCCACCAAGCTGAGAGCCATAGTGATGCGATATAGTACTTGATCCATGGCAGAGCCTTTCAAAAAGACTGGCTTACCATCCTTCTTCTGGAAATGCTCCTGAATCTTTTTAATTTCAAAGTAACCTTTCTCAATTTCACCTTTCGCAACAGCAAAGCGATTACTCGAATTACTAAAGCTTCGTACAACGACCTATAAAAAAGATCCAATATTATAGATTTTCGTCACTATTAATTCCACATTTATTTACTATATATTACATAACCGGCACCAATAATATCCATTTAAATGTAAATTCAATGTTGATATAAAAAATAAAAAAAAATATTTAAAAGAGCTTTTATGCTTACCCTGGAAAAATTCAACATTCTTGCGTATTTATGCTTATTCTTATGTTAATATTTTAATCAATGATCTCAAAAGTATTTTAATTTCTGATTTTTTGCAGAATGAAAATTCCAAAAAGTGTTTTCTACGTGCTGGAGAATTTTAGAGTTTCCAAATATTCTCCAAAATTAATCCCATAAGTAAGGCGACCAAATATTTTTATTTCAAAGGGAATGCGTATGAAAATTTTTTGGATTTTTTTAATTTCCCATTTTAACTCTTTCATTTTCCTATGCTTTTCATATTGCGAGAAGTAAATGAGGAAGACACTTCATAGAACTATAGATTTTAAAGTTTGTGCGCCATAGGTGATTATCACCCAGAAAAATTTCGGTTATCGAATGAATTCGATTGTAGACACATCATATCTAGACAGAGTTTGTACAATGTACAGGAAACGAACCATCGGTTGCAGCAGTTTTATCGGAAAAATTCACATTTTCGAGAGCATATTTCTAAGTAAGATCCTTAAGCAAAATTCCTAAATGTGAGGAATTGTTATTCAATATTCAAGTTGATAAATAATTCTGAAAACGCCGCACAATTCGCATCATAATAAAAAAAAAAAATTTGAATTAGTTCTTATATTCGTTATAACTATTTAGAGATCAATCTTTCAAATCTTTCAATTTTACAAGACAGTGTGATTTACTTCATAAAAATAACATTAATTTCGTGGCAACACTGGACGTACATAAAAAATTAGCGTAAATTGGGAACATTTGCATTAAATCGAAAATATTTAAAAATTCCTTGGTTTTTATATTATATTTATAGTTGAACAGGATTTTCATTATAAAATATTGAACGAAGAAATTTTACTGCATTATGGGATTTCTGACCGTATTGAAAAAAATGAGACAAAAAGAAAAAGAAATGCGTATATTGTTGCTGTGAGTATATACTTGGCTAAAGTAAAATCTGTTCATTCTTTATGGCTGTATCCAGAGGTTTGGATAATGCCGGTAAGACAACAATACTTAAACGTTTCAATGGAGAGCCGATCGATACTATTTCTCCTACTTTGGGATTTAATATTAAAACCTTGGAGCACAATGGCTACACTCTGAATATGTGGGATGTTGGAGGTCAAAAATCATTAAGATCCTATTGGCGCAATTACTTTGAATGCACGGACGGTTTAGTGTGGGTAGTTGACAGTGCTGATCGTATGCGCTTGGAGACGTGCAAACACGAAATGGATATTTTATTGCAAGAAGAACGTTTGGCAGGTGCGACGTTATTAGTTTTAGCTAATAAGCAAGATTTACCTGGATCCCTAACCGCTAACGAAATTAAAGAGGTAACATATTAAGTACTGCACTCATGCAATAAAATACAATGTTATTGAAGGCTCTACAATTGGATAATATCACTACACATCACTGGCTCGTACTTGGAGTTAGCGCTGTAACCGGCGAAAAGCTGCTTGGAGCCGTAGATTGGCTCATAGATGACATAGCTAAGCGGATTTTTACCTTGGACTAAAGTAGTACTATTCACAATTGAACTTCATATAATTCCATGTATACGTTCTTTCGGTTTTTATTACTTCTCCAACAAATACAATTTATACAGCGATTCATTGTAGTCACTATCGAATTTAAGTTTTAAGTTTACCGTAACAATTTCGACGAAGCCTTCCGTCTTACTAGGTACCGTACACTTTTTTTTCATTGTATTGAATATCATATCGTTTATTTTAGAGTGTTTTTTATCGGTTAGGTGACGGTATGCTAAGTTGTGTTTAATATGTGCTATGGACGTACTCATCATAAAACAACGGCATGGAGTGTTATAATTTTTGGCCAGTTCAATAAATTTCTTTCGCGACTCAGCATCAATATTAGTGTTGTCCACAACACAAGATTTTGCGTTGCGGAGAGCACGTTCACAGGCTTCAAAACAAGCTTTTGTGCCTCTTAAGGTGTCTGCGTTCGCTATGATGTAACCCATAGGTATCAAATGGTTTTCACAAAAGTATGATTTCCCTAAAAGGAAACATGTTAGCGATGTGTAAATATTGTAGGCATAAGTTACCTGAACCCGGCAAACCAAACATTATGATCATTTCGCAAGGGGTTATAGGTAATTTTGTATTTGGGGGACTGAAAAGGGAACAATTTTCATCATACTTCGTAGGCTCGAATTCAGGTCTAAGCCAATGCTCTTGTTTGCTTCCCAAGAAATGTTCTTCAGGCGTATAAAAAGTTATATTTACATTTTTAGCAAACAAACGATCAGCCAATGAATGATCTTTGCGCCTTTTATGTACACCTTTGGCAACTTCAGGTCGCCCGGCTGCATCTCCTACAAAAAAACTTTGAGCTTTATCAATGCCCACACCTTCGTTCGCTTCCTTTTGTAGATATTCCCACATCCCAGGCAATGGTTTCCTATAATAACCTTCGCCAGTAGCTACGAATATTTGGACGGGTACATCCAATTTATGAACAATTGATTGCATTTTTGCCTTAAATTCACTTATGTTTACTTTTCCTTTCGCTATACCGCCTTGATTAGTGAAAAAGCATATTTTGAAGCCATTATTAAAAAACTGTTTTAATTTCTTGGGTTCGTCGTCATAGTTAAGCATCCAGTCGTCAGATGATTTTGGAAATACTAAACCGGATTTGGTTTTAATGATTGTTCCGTCGACGTCATAAGCGGCTATTTTCGTCGAAGCTTCCACACCTTTACTAGTAAATACTAATAGTTGACCGTCGTCTAAGGAAATCCAAGAATCGTCTGCGACGAATTTTCGTTTTACTTCAGGTGGTGGTTTAAACATTATTTTAAACGAGTGCCTTCCATAAACCATATCTAATACATCTCCATTCTCCAAAACACATTCGGTATTTTTTGTGGCCATGAACCCGTTCACCCCGCTTGGGTTGACACCCAAAATTTTTAATTTTATGCGAGCTTCAATCATATCTACATCTAATTTCAATTGTTTTTTAGAACATTTAGTATCACGTACACCGGTTTCCCTACTGCGACCTAGCACATTTTCGCCTGAGACGAGATGGATTATTTGATGATCCGCTCCTAATGGTTTTAACAGACAAATTCGATTTAACACTTTTGCCGTAGTGTGAGCCATATTTGTTACAAATCAACCAAGTTTTTAAATATCAATTATCTTTATAAAAAGTAATTATCTTAGTCTTGCCGTAGAACAAACGCAGTAATTTTTCCCAAAATGTTTTCATTCAAATTAAAAATTTTTAGCCAGCTCGTTATTTACTCACAGGCATGCTCATATGATACATTTGTAGCGAAAAGCTGCATCACTTTTTGCATTTCGTACGAAAGAAAAAACATATGTTCTTTATTTACGATTTAACACATCAAACCGCGCAAAGTGTGCCTTACAGATTACAGATTCTTATACACGGTGAAATTTTTTGATAGAGCATCAATTTTGAACGTTAAGTGTGTGGGTTGGCGCACCTTCTATTTTGAAAGTGTTCAAAGCTGAATTGGCAATGTCTTCGATAGAATCATATGTGTTAAGGATTAAGCCGGCGTTGGAAAGTTTCTTGAGGTCTCCTACTATATCAAATCTCAAAACTTTGGAAAATGAGATGGAGAAAAGTAATTGGATTTGCATAAATTTGTTTGACGCACAAGTTTTGATTCCATTAGTAATAAAATTGGATGAACTGAGCAAGTTAGTGCAAATTTTGCATGGCGACTACATTGGCCTAATATAAAAATAAACATTTTGACATACTTGTAGCGATGATCAGGACCTGCGGACAGCCTGTTTGGAATGCATTACAATGGTCTTATCCAAGACTTATTTAAAACAATTGTCTGCTATTCGTACAGTGCTAGTTGTCACCTTAAAGCAAATAAGGCATTGGCCACAAACATCTATTCGGCCCGATTTGTCTGAGGAAATCAAACTTGCGGCCATTAAATGTATTATCGCCTGTTTAAAGCGCTCGACTTCCGATGTATTAGAACAATTTTATTCTAAAGAATGCATAGTTATTTTAGGACAAACTCTGCTCACGTTAGTGGAATTTATTGAATACGAGAAATACAAACAGCTAGTGTAAGCATTTCAAATACATTATTATTTAAGTTGTTCATGTGCTACTTAGCGTTTTTAAGATAGTATTATAGCTTTGGAATGTTTAATGGTTGTCTTCTACGTTTACGACGACGCTGATCAAATGGACGTTGTTATGCGCAATCAAGTGGCCAATACGATATTTATATTTCTACCAAAAGTTGTAACTATTTTGTATAAAATGGCACTGGGCGATGAAAAGTTGAACGAAATCATAAAAGTGGTTAGTAGAAGTTGTTATGTATTGCGTACGTTTGCCTGTCCTCTTACATTTCAATCGTTTTAGGTCTCTATAAAAGCTTTAGGTCGCATATTAACCGTAGTTTTTGAAGAAACAACTGAAAATTTAATTCACGTCAGTCATGACGCTGCAGCATTTAAAGAGTTGCTCGCGATTGCTTTATCTAACCAACTTAATGGACACCATTCATTGCTTAATAAATTGGCGGCTAAAAAAGTTCCTGCACAGCCAGAAGTTCAACTAAAAGAACTTCAAAACGAAGGACGTTCGCAAATTTGGATTCAAGTATCCTCTAGTAAATTGCAATTCATTTTCAAAGCAATGGTGGTTTTGCGCTCACACACCTCGATAAGAATACGCGGAGAATATGCGAATATGTGCTGCTTACTAATGCGGAGATGTGCCCATAACTTAAAAGATAACATTATTATAATATTAGAGAGTGTTTTAGCGTTGACGGAAGATCTAGACTACTCTATCAGACATCTTTGCAGGCAAAGCATAGATGAAATGCAGAATACTTATGGTATTAAAGAACTATTTGACGAAAATGCTGAGCTTCTTTTTGAAGCACATTTAACGAAAATGCCACGTATTATAAGTCGATGTGATGACAATGAACAGTTTGCCGAATTTTCGTTTGTCAAAGGCTTTTTTAATAGTCTAACGCCAAAAAGGTTGTATTCGCTGCTGACTGTGCCTAGACACATGGAAATATTTTGCGCATGTCTGTTGGAAGCCCTAGCTTTGCAAATGTCTTTTGATTTTTTGGAGGATGAGGATGAATATTTTTTGAACCGTATATCTTCTAATTTTGATTTTGAAAGCCACTCACAATTATGTTGGCGCAAATTTAAGAATTTAACCTCGACGCGCTGTGTTAGTATTTTACAAAGCATTTGTGGCATTTTGGGTAGAACAGAGATTTTGAATCAACTGTTAATGGACTATCTCATGGAGATGTTAACTCACAATAACGAAGCTATGAATGCGATTATATTGGTGATACTTTGGTTAGGAATGGTCGAGGAAAAATCGGTTCATTCTAATAATTTGAATTTAGTTTCACAACTTATAGAAGAGTTACTGAATGATAGACATTGGTGCTTGGCTTTGGAACCGGATAATTTAGAGCATATCCGTGCTGATAAGGTTCGTGGGTAACTTAAACGAACGTTTTTCATTTTATTAGGAATTTTTTCTTCAGTCAGCAAATTGGCTTGTGGACCGCACTCCTGGGCTGTACGAATCTGGGATTGAAATACGTACTCAAAACATTGATTCGGATGATGAAGCGCAAGGTAAATAAACTTTTTTTAATTTTTTGAAGGTTAAATCAAATCGTTTCATTATGATTATTCAAAGTAGTAATAGTAGACGGACATTTGCTATTGTCCAAGAACATTTTTTAAATTTGGCCAGCAACTTTAATATCTTCTGCGCGCATCTAGTTTTCTTGTGTTGAACCTACATATTTGACACACCAACATATTTTGATCCAAGGACAAACGCTACGGGTCGAACCAATTTTTGGACCACATCCTACATATCGTTGTTTATTTGCAAAATCTGTTATTTGGACATAACAATGATAGAGTATTTATTGGTTGGCGTTGTTCCGTTATAGCGTCTTTTTTTTTTTTATTTACGTTAGGGGTTTCTTCTTTTATTTAATTTTGGGCCTGCTCTCGTCTGCTCTTGTCTGCAGACGGAGATCAATATTTTGTTTTTCGGTGTAATTTTTAACAAAGGCGGATTCCGATCTCCACGTCCTGTGCGGAGCATGTTGAAGATTTTTTTAAATGCATTTCTGCTGGTAAAAAGGACGATTCCAATAGCCAACACGGATCGTTTAAATCGGTCCAGTGGTTTTTCAGTCTAGAACGGACTCACATACGAACACTGGGTTTTGTATATATATAGACAATATTATCGTTATTATAATTAATTTAGCCAGAGAAATAAATTCAAAGACAAAAGTCTTAAGCAGTAGCATCTGATAATGAGCAATAAAACCTAAATATATGGAAACTGTAAACATTGAAGGGACTCATCTAACCTAATAAAATTTTCTTCTCACTCTTTACAGAAAGCTCTTCACACTTCGTGACTGCGACTGACGCGCAATATAATGTGCTCCATACATGTATGGTTTTAGATGCTTTAGGTCATTGCGCTTTACAATTAGGAGAAAAATTCGATATTTATATATTTCGTTCCTTGCACAAGGTTCTTATAAAAATAGGTACTTCTACTGATTAAGCCAGATAATTTTGGTTGCCTACTTTTTGTTTCTTGCTTGATTTAGCTGACAAGAATGAAATGGTTGCTCGCGCTGCTATGTTTTCTCTTATGTCAATTCAAAAAGCTCTGAAATTTCGTGATTTGACATCATTGATAGAAATGCACATTGACTATATAGGCTACCATCTTAACATTGCATTGAAGCGGGTGAGAACAAATGCTGCAATTAGCAAATTCTTTTAAATTTTAAAACGTTCACTTATTTTACAGACGCCTAATAGCAAAGCCGCCATTGACATTATAACGGTTCTCTTACATTTTAGTTCTCGAAACTCAATACCTTATTTAGAAAATGTGTTTGACGTTATCTATGAACAATTCTCCGAATCGCAGAACAATGTAAGCTATAATGCTTACTTGAAAGTATTTAAAGCTTTTTTATCCTATGTTAATAAGTGGTTACTGAATTGTGATTTGGAAATTGCAAAAAATTTGGAGATCCCAGGCAATAACGGGACAGATAAAGAAAATGAAGAAAATATTGCAAAATATTGGTTAAATGTGATATCGAACACATTTTCGCGGGAAACAATGCCAGATTCAGAAAATTGTAAATTAGTTGGCGACAATATCGTGTGCCCGCCGGATCTGATCTCAGCCGACAATACGTCCAATGACAATTGCTTGCCAAAGCATTTGGAAATGGTTAAAACTATTCTATATCAAGTTGCGAAGACTTTGACGACAAATGAGCATATTTATCAAATACTGTCTTTAGATTGTCTAATAATTGGGATACCACTACTAAAAGACTATGATGATATATTACTACCATTAGTTCATTATATGTGGAAACCATTAACGGAGAAATTTCGACAGCGAAACATGATAATTACGATACGTAGCTTGTCAGTGCTAGCCGTTCTGGCTGACAGTGCTAAAGATTTCATCACAAAACGTTCTTTAGAGTATGTATTGGCAGTTGTGTCAAATATACACATGTATGATTACCTATTTTAATTTAATTGACTTTCAGCGAAGTTATACCACTCTTTAAAATATTCCTCCAAAATTCAACTGGTCACTGTGCCAAATTCCACAGCGGGTAATCATAATTTCAAGTAAAATGAAAATATACAGAAAATGCTTAACTATTCACGCATTTTTCAGTGCAACTCAGTCGTACAAAATGAAAGTGAAGCTTTTGCAAGAATTTGCTAATTTAATTATAAGCCTCAACATTGATGGTAGACATGTCAACGAGATCTCAGAAATAGTATCATTATATTTGAGCAACGAGCAGTGTCAAGATCTTCAAACCGCGGCTGTAACCTATTTCATGAAACTACATCATTTTAATGGACCGATGATATATTTAGTTCTTTTAAAGAAGGCACATTTAAAACATTATCAAAAGAACGTTGCAACGATATTCAATGAATTTGGATTGTATTTAAATAGGTCACAAGAAAATCAAAGTCAAGAATAACTTCTAATTTCATGAGGCTTTTGGTCGTGTTCACTTAACGGAATTACGCATTTCGAACAGCCGGTCGCAATGCCTAATTTGAAAATATAGTGCAGCATATAAAATGTTTTTTCTGCTCTACAGCAATACAACTTAGTACACAATTGTTCTAAATTTTGTGATTACTAAATTTTATAAATAAAGATGACCACAAACTTGCCATTAGCCTATGGAACTATCACATTCTGCTGAAGCGATAATGGAGGCGTATGCTTGTTTTTAAGTTTAAAATGAAATAAAAAGAAAAGAATAAGCTGTACATATGTAAAGAGAATTACAAACTTATCATTGGGATATAGCGAGTCTTCATATGATGGTCGGTGTCCTGCGTCTTTTGTAAACTAAAACGGAATAAAAATAAATGAATAAATGATAGATATTGAAATTGTCTTTTGGGTAGTTGGTGACAATGTCATCGCTCACGTCTTGGCAGGTATCTTCCCTTTGGGTTAGGTCCTTTATACACGCTTGACATCTTAGCTGCTCTCGGATGTATCGAGCGATCCTGTGAGCAGTCGCAGATAGCCTTCTTCTTTGTTGCAGATCTGATTTGCAATCAGATCGCCGAATACCTTCTCATTGAGGCCAAATGGTGTAAATTCTTCTTCGGCCTTCAATTTTGTAGTTCATATTATCGATCAGATAGTAGTAATCATTGGATCTGAACCCGCCTGCCCATTCTGCCACCTGCAGGTTCATTAATATTTAATGGCGCTATAGTTATGGCAGTGTAGGCTTCCAGCAGCTCGTCCATAAGTTTAGTGAAATTGGAAACTATCAGACGGGTGTCCACCGATACGAGGTCCGCCGCTAAATTCGCCTCCAAATAATTTCTGGCATTTTCCAGTTCAGCTTTGAGCTCCTTCCATGTGCTGTTGTTCAAGGAACCTCGATGAAAGACGTTCGCGAACTTTGTAACCGCGATCACCAAGTCGCACATACTCCGCGCTCCTCCATCCGAAATCTCACTGGCAGTTCTTGCACACAATCTGCGTGTAAGAACAATAACTGATATATTTGTGCATCTATACACTTTCTCCACTCTTCATCACACATACATGCTTTACCCACAAAAAAAAAACAAAGAGTCTAAAAGAAAAATGTCGAATAATAATTAATACGGCGCCAAACATATGTATGCTAGTGCCGCAAATTTGAATATAACGGGTACAAAATTATTCGAAATTGCTAGCAACTAGAGACGCTAACGAGATTCCCGGGGAAACTGCGTGAATCTTAGATGGGTCTTCTTGTCAATACATGAAATATATAAAAATTGTCACTAAACGAAATAAATGCACTTAACGTCAATAAACTGTTAAAATTAGAACTTAACTTTCTTAAAATTAAGGAAGATTTTAATATACTAAATACACTATGCTCTTATTTTCGTTGAAGTTACTCCTTTATTGCTTAACATATTAAACTTTTATTATCAAATCTTATTTAACTTATTAAATGCTATGCATTTTAAACAGAAATTTTTTTTCGTAAAATGTTTTAATACACATATTTTTTGTTTTTATTTCTTTTTGTAATTTTTTTCACTTCACACAAATTCATACAAAGAGTTGCTTTCAATAAATGTTCTCAACCATTTAACAATGGAAATATCCCGGACAATGCAATAAAAATTTTCCCTGACCGCACAAAAAAAATATCCCCGATCATAATTATTCCAGACCCTACAGTTAAACGAAAAATATTCTTGAATAAAAGAGCTACAATCGAATTCTTCAATTGATGGAAATTTTTCTTTAATTAGTTATTACCCGAACTTATTTATCAAACGCTAAGTGTATAATGAAGAATTGAAGAAATTTTTCGAACCGGCTTTCGACAAACTTATTGATTTTGTTGAAGCGAGATGATAATGTTCTTAGAATTCTCCTGAAGAACTTAATTTGTGACTCGACCAACATCCAACATCCACTGCAGCAAATACATATAATGCAGAATTTTTCTATGGCTTTCGAACGTTTACTTCCAGCTGGTGGCGGCATCGGCAGCAACCAATTTCAAGTAGGTTCAGGTAGCTAGGGTAGCGCCGACAAAATGTTTGCTTTTCAAACTATTTGTGAAAGGAATTACATTAGTGTAATAGGTTTTCTTTTTCTTATGAAGTTTTTAGAAGACTTCCTTGTAATCTTTTCTAAGCTGTGACTCTGTTGATTGTTTGGCTTACAACTTAAAATTACAATTTTTATCTGAGCGCGTATTACCGCCGGAGTTATATAAGTTTTCATTAATTTAGACAGAAGTCATATTTCATTGGCCTAGTCCATACTTACCCAAATTCATTTAAAAAAGTGATTTTGAGTGAAAATATAACTGTAAAAAATGTTCCGTTTATCGTAAGTTTCCAAAATAAACCACATCTAGAAGGTTAAGCAAACGTTCTTTATTTTAAATAACGAAAAAGATTCCCAAATGGTACTTTAGAAACAGTATGCTTTCTTTTTTTTCAAATTGAAAGTAATTGCCCTTCCATGTTTTGGGTGCGAATTGAGGGCGATAATTGATTTCAAAGGTCTTTTATTTTGTTTTTTTGACAAAATGATCTGCCTGCACTGATCAGCAAAATTTGCAACAATTCTAAATTCATTGCACTAACCAACGCCCTTAATTAACTGCGTTTTTTTTAAATTTTGCTAAGCAAAGGTCGGATAACTTCTGAATTCAACCTTGGTCTCCACTCCAATTCCACCCAAGAATATTCAGGTGCACGAAGTCAATAGGAACTTTGCCATTCATATGAATCGTTTCTTAAAAAGGTTGACTCCTTTCCTTTCCTTTAATCATTTCTAGTCGTGTTTGAGACATGCGTTCTACATCCAAATACATTAAACCCTTCACACCAGAGCTTGTAATTGTAATTTTATATAGTCTTTTTAATCAATTTTATTTATTTTTCTTCCATTTATAAGGGTGTAACTAAACGGGATCGTTTCCTCGTTAGCGTTCTTATTGCGCTTTTCTTCTTTAAGTTTTGCTTTGCTTTTGATATTTAAAAGAGATTTGGCTTTGATTTTTAATGTTTACCAGAGATTTAGCGGAAAAAGCTATCTAACGCCTTTCAAACTTGATAGATTTACAGAGATTTGGCATTAACAGAAAACTATTCAAAACTATTCAAACTATGAACATGTGATTAATTTCGTATTCTTTTTCACACAAATGAGGTATGATAAAAATTGAAAATTCTGTCGTCTTGTGACTAGGTATCATTTGCCCAAGAAGTAGAACATAATTTGTAGCGTTAGCAAAAATAAAATAGTTATAAACGTTTGAATGCAGTAACTGTTGTTCTTATCCTTCGGGTAATCGAAGAGGAATCTTGAATTATTATTTGTGCACGATTATTAATTGCGATTTTTATCAAAAAGAAAAAAAGTTAATTTCTGCATACACGCTGACTGATGTTTAATGTATTTCAAATTTCCCACGCTTATTAAGGATATGTACTCCGAACCGTAATTTCAAATTTGTTTGCCTTAGCAAACAAAATTTGAAAAACTTTGTGAAACTGCAATGCTCGATATAAAAACGACTGAATACACAAAAATTTATTATGCAAACAAGTTAAACGCTACAAAAAGCGTTTCTTCATGTACGCAAAGCAAGTTTCTAAGTAATAAATAAGATATTTTTTGTATTTTTTCAACTTTTTTCTTTTTTTTTTTTACTTTTTTTCTATAGCTTAAATTTGAGTTAATAAATTAGAGATTCCTATAGACTACGGTCTTTAAGTTAAGTTGATCACATATTTGAAATAAACATTATTATTTTTTGATGTTATTTACCAATATTGATTATTGACACATTTCTTCAAAGTCTTCAATTCTTGACACACCTAACTCTTCCATTCCTGATATATTGAAGTCTTCAAAATCTTCATACAAGTTATCTAAATCTGGTTCCTCTTCGGTCTGGTCCTCCTCTAAAAATTCCTCCAAATTTCTAAGCTCAGCGGCAAATTCATCTTGTTCGGGTTCCCTTAAGAACTCCTCCCAGTTTTGCAGTTCGTCAGCCAATTCATCTTGTTCGGGTTCCTCTAAGAACTCCTCCAAGTTTTCAAGTTCGCCCGCAAATTCATCTTGTTCGGGTTCCCCTAAAATCTCCTCCAAGTCTTCAAGTTCGCCAGCAAATTCATCTTCGGTTTGTCCTAAGAATTCGTTCAAGTTTTCAAGTTCGGCAGCAAATTCATCTTCTTCCTCTTCATGTGTTTGTCGCCCTAGTCTCATAGCTTCAACCCATGCCGAATGCTCTTGTATCGCCTGTTGAGCTTGTTGTGCTTGAAGATCAGACATGGTGGGCGTTGATACGACTATTTGAGGTATATTGGATGTATGCGGCATTACACGCGGTGATCGCAGTAATAAAGGTGCGTCAATAGGGATCTTAGGAAGTATGGGTGGTTCCCGCCTACCCGGGACTTGCAAATAATCCATTTGTGGACATATTTGTGGCTGTTGTTGTGCACCTGGACTTGTTCCTAGGAACTTTTCCATTTCTTGAAACTCAGCATCGTCTACCTCTTGCTCTTGAATTCTACGACTATCACTAAGCATTCGCTCCATTAGTAGAAACGAGTCATCCTCTGCCAGATCGTCTTCGTCATATACAAAGTTTTCTTTTTCGGCTTCTTCCATTTGACCAGTAATTCTCTCCCAAGCCATATGCTGCATTTTCTGAAATTCGGCATCTTCTCTTTCCTTCGCCGCTTGTATGGAGGATGTAGTAGGGCTGGATACGACTACTTTAGGTAATCCGGAAATAGATTCATAAGGAGACTCTTCAATTGGGAACTTTGGAAGCTCGCGTGCTTTCGGTCCACTCGGCACTCGCAAATAGTCTATCTTCGGACATATTTGTGCGGAGCTCTGAACTGCAGCGATAGCAGAACGCGCTTTCGGTGGTTGCATTTTACTTGGTTTAGGTGGTTTAGCGATTCGGCTACCAGTTGGTATTCTTGTTGCGATTTGCGGTACGGACCGCGTTGCTTGTGGCTGAACAGCTGCTTGAGCGTTTGAATATGTTGGCACTTTTGTTTGAGTTCGCGTTAGTACTTTTGCTTGAGGGCGCTCTGTTGCTTTCGGTTGAAGTCGTGTTGGCACTTGCGCTGGTAACCGTCTTGGCGCTTGTGGCTGCGCCCGTGTTGGTATTTCTTGTGGCGGTCGTTTTGACGCTTTTGGCTGTGCCCGTGTTGGTATTTGTTGTGGCGGTCGTTTTGACACTTGTGGCTGTGCCCGTGCTGGCACTTGTTGTGGCGGCCGTTTTGGCACTTGGGGCTGCGCCCGCGTTGGTACTTGTTGGGGCGGCCGTTTTGGTACTTGTGGCTTTGCCCGTGCTGGTACTTGTTGTGGTGGCCGTTTTGCCAAAAGTGACTGCGTACGTGTTGGTACTTGTTGCGGCGGACGCGTTGATGTTTGCGGTTGCTGCCGTGCTCCTGGACGCACCTGCGCTATTCGTGATCTTGTTCGCGCTTCTGCTTGTGCTGGCATTGATGGCAATGATGTTGTTTGGGGTTTTGGTCGTTTTGGCAATTGCCTTGTCGGACGCGGTAGTACTTGTGATTTTGTGGGTTTTCTCGGTATTTCGGCTAATGCCTTTGCTTTTTGTTGTTCTGAGGGTGGCTTGATCTTTTGGCCTGCGCGTTTTGGTTGACGTAACTTTCCAGTTGGCAATGACGGACCGTATACCGGTGGTTGTTCTTCAGGAGTAAGTACTTCAACCAGCGTTTCCATAATTTCAAGTGATCTGGAACTCGCTGACAAGACACTGGGAAATTTCTTAAGAAAAGGTGCCGCGCGACCTTCCGGGAATACTTCTTCTTGTGGAGATAACTGGCGTGGAGGTGACTTACGTACCTGTTCCTCTTCACGAGGCGAAAAAGGTGAAAGTGGGGGAGTATTAAGCTGATCTTGCAGACTCTGAAGTTCCTCTTCTATGCGGCATCGTCGAATGTCTTCTGAAGTCAAGCCAGGTGAAACGCGTGGCGGTGATGGGGAAGCCGCAAGTTGACTTTGCAGTCTTTCAACTTCTAATCTCATACGGTATCGTTGAATTTCTTCTGGGGTAACGGAAGTTGTAATAATTTGTTGAGGTGGAAGAGCAGCAAGCTGATCTTTTATGCTTTCAATATTTTCTTCTATACGTTGCATATTTTCTGGAGTAAGTAAGGAAATGGGTTGTGGAGGGACTTGAGCAGCCGCTTCTGGAGTAAGTAAGGAAATGGGTTCTAATGGTACTTGGGCGGCCGCTTCTGGGCTAAGTAAGGAAATGGGTTGCGAAAGGTCTTCAGCAGCCGCTTCTGGCGGAG